CTCTGTCTCAAAAATAAATAAACGTTAAAAAAAAACAAAAAACGATCTCAAGAGGGGTGCCTGAGTGACTCCGTCACTTAAGCCTCTGACTTCCACTCAGGTAATGATCTCACCGGTCCGAGTTCAAGCCGCATTGGGCTCTCTGCTGTCAGTGCAGAGCCCGCTTTGGATCCTCTGTCCCCCGCTCTTCTCTCTGCCCCTGCCCTGCTGATTTTCTCTCTCTCTCTCTCTCTCTCTCTCTCAAAATAAATAAATAAACTTTAAAAAATACCGATCTCAAGAAATAGTACTCATGATAACAAATATACTTTGATATTTTGGTCGACTAAAATAAGGAGAAAGGACAGGAAGATGGGAAAAAATCAGCAGATGGCAAAGGGGGGAGAATACATAAGAAAAATTATGGGGGGCACCTGGCTGGCTCAGCTGGTAGAACATAGAACTTTTGTTGATCTTGGGGTCATGAGTCCAAGCCCCACGTTGGGAGTAGAGCTTACTTAAATAAATGGGTTTTTTAAATGAGAAGAAAAATTATATCAATTCATAAGTGATTGCCAAAGTAAGATTTTCCTTTTGGAATCTAAAGAAATGAAATAGAGAAGAGGATCCACTCCAAAAGGAGGAAGTTCTTATCTCTTCACTAAGATTTCCTTATACCACATTTTGCTTTAGACCTGCCGGGAGATAATTAAGAGCAGCAAACTTGTGGACAAGGGTATAGAAAGGGTAGGTAAGTAAGGAGCAGCAAAGACTAATAATTTACATGGGGAATTTCCATTTCAAAATCTCACCACCACTATATTTTCCACAACCGTAATGTGAGGTATAATAATACCTGACATTCATATAGTGCAAAGCTACATTATCTCCTTTAAGCCTCACGGTAACTCTCTGAGGTAGGTTGGGAAAACATTTTCATCTTCATTTTGCAGATGAGAAAATGGATACAGAGATGGTGTGATTTACCACTGAATACTAGATTCGGAGCTGCTCTTCATTACTCAACTCAGTTGAATAAATTTGACAGATATTCATCAGCACCACAGATCCTGCAGAAATGCCTGGAAAGTCTTACATCTGTGCCTATCCATCAAACAACACTTACTGGTAGAACAGGAAGTATTAACTGTATCCCTGCTGGAGTATTGTGAGTGATTAAAAAAAAAAAATACAACATGTGTTCCTTTCAAGGAGTCTGCTGCTTCCCCGGAAAAGAGAAAACTAACACAACAAATAAAAACAATAAAAGACAATATATAATTAAGTGCTAAACCGTGCACCACGTGCTAAGTGCCGTGAGAGTTTAGAGAAGAGAGAAAATAGAGGAGCCAGAGCCCAGCCAAGGAAGGTTTGATGAAGAGGGCGCCCAGAGGGATGTTGACGAATCGGTGGGACTGGGGAAGGCGAAAGGACGGACCAAGAGGGAGGCTCGCAGGAGAGGGAGGAGCCCCAGAGGATTGGCGCCCGGAAAGAGACGGGTGTTTGGGCCCACGGCTGGGTCGGCCAGCGGGGGGCAGCCGCTCTGGGGCTCCGGGATGCCCGTGGAAAGCTGCTCCACAGAGGACCAGAGGCACAGCCAGAAGTGACCCGACAGCAGTAACGTTTAAACCCAGGACGCGGGAGGGGGGGAAATGGCATTTTTTAAATGTTTTGATATCTAAGGAATGCCAAGTACTGTACTTTATATCTGCAACAGATTTTTGAATAAAAGAAATAGTTATCAAACTTCAGAGTAAACACAGATAAGAAACACTCATATCCCTTAAAGGCTGACTGTAAACAAGGACGTTTTAGAAGAGGATTTCTTTACAGTTTGTTCAGTTCTAAACTTACTTGTTTGGGGTCCATCCTGGCTAGAAAAGCCAGAGTGATAATATAGTTGACCCTTAAAAAAGGCAGGCGCTAGGGGTGTCCACCCCTGCGCTGTTGAAAATCCATGTATAATTTTTGACTCTCCGGAAACTTAACTAATAGCCTACCGTGGACCAGAAGCCTGACTGAGAGCAAACACAGTTGATAAACATATATTTCCTATAGGTATATGTATTGTATATTTGTATACATGTATATGTATATTTCACATATGTATATGAATTACATACCATATTCTTACAATAACCTAGAGAAAAGAAAGTGTTATTAAGAAAATGATGAGAATACATTTACAATACTGTACTGTATTTATGGGGAAAAAAAATCCACATACAAGTGGACCCTTGCAGTTCAAACCTGTGTTGTTCAAGGGTCAACTCTATATTCAGGAATAGCCAAGAGATAGTCTTTAAGTTTTGGTTTTTTCCTTTTAAATCCAGCATCGGTGCCGTGCATGCAGATGGCAACTGAACAAACTCAGAACGAGGTACTGGTTACCTGTAGGGAAGAGGTTTTGTGTGTGTGTTTTTAAGTAGGCTCCAGCCCAACCTGGGGCTTGAACCCAGGACCCTGAGATGGTGAGTCACATGATTTACTGACTGAGCCAGCCAGGTACCACTGTAGGGAAGAGTTTTCTAAAGCAGGGGTTGGAAAACTAGGACCAGTTACTTGGTTTTGGATGTCTCACAAGCTAAGAATGGGTTGTACTTTTTTTTTTTTTTTTAAGTAAACTCTATGTTATACATGGGGCTCGAACCCACGACCCCATGATCAAGAGTTGCTTGCTCTGGGCTCCTGGGTGGCTCAGTCAGTTAAACGTCTGACTTTGGCTCAGGTCATGATCTCACGGTCTGTGAGTTCAAGCCCCGAGTCGGGCTCTGTGCTGACAGCTAGGAGCCTGAGGACTGCTTCGGATTCTGTGTCTCCCTCTCTCTCTCTGCCCCTCCCCAACTCGTGTGCTGTCTCTCAAAAATAAATAAACATTAAAAAATTACAAAAAAAAAAAAAAA